CCCCCCCCCTTTTTTGGCCCCCCCCCCCCCCCCCTCCTTCCCCCCTCCCCCCCCCTCCTTCCCCCCTCCCCCTCCCTCCCCCCTCCCCCTCGGTTGTGCCCCCGCCGCCGTGCGCCGCAACCACCAGCCGCATCATCGGCAGCCCGCCTGCCTCTCGCGCGCGCGAGGCGGGCGGACTCCCTCCTGCGCGGTGCACCCTGTAGGAAGGAGCCGAGCGGCGCGCGGCGCGGCAAGCGCGCATGGCTGCGCTGTGCGCGCTGCCGGAGCGGGAGGAGGACGACGCGTCGTGGACACGTCCGACCGGACTCGCCTCTCGCGGCCGTGTAGGCGCGCGCTGCTGGAGAGGGAGGCCGTCAGCGCAAGGTCGCAGTGGCGGAAGGCGCGCGGGCGCGGGCTGCGCGGCCAGCGCGGCGCCGCCAACGCGTGCGGAGCTGCTCACTCGCAGACCGCAAGGAGTCGTTGAACAGGTCCACGCGGCGTTGGGCGAGGCGGCGGAGATGATCGCTCTCGACAAGGTGGCGCGTCGCGGCGCTCTCTCGGCTGAAGCTCGGCGCTATCTCGGCTCATCTCGGCGCTCTCTCGGCTGGCTGGAGTACGGCGCCCCGCTCGCGGCGAGGCCGTGTCTGATGTCTGGATCCGCCTCCTGGCCCTGCCCCAGGTGCACCGGATGACAACACACACATACATACATACACTCATTCATGACTCTCAGTCAGCGCTTTGGTCCCAGTCACGACACATGTGTGACTCGCCTAGTGTGGAGACGCCGTGCACACCGTGGGGCCTCCTTGTCCTAGCACGGGAGGACCCGTGTGGACCGGAGGTAACAGCAGCAGCAGCAGCAGCAGCAGCAGCAGCAGCAGCAGCAGCAGCAGCAGCAGCAGCAGCAGCAGCAGCAGCAGCAGCAGCAGAAGCAGCAGCAGCAGCAGCAGCAGCAGCAGCAGCAGCAGCCTCCTGGCCCTGTCCGAGCAGGTGGACCGGCTCTCTGTCTTCTAACCCTAACCCTAACCCTAACCCTAACCCTAACCCTAACCCTAGCCCTAGCCCTAACCCTAACCCTAACCCTAACCCCAACCCCAACCCTAACCCCAAATGGACCGGCTCTCTGTCTTCGAGGAGTACATATCTCCCCATATCTCCCCATATCTCCCCATATCTCCCAGGTGGACCGGCTCTCTGTCTTCGAGGAGTACATCGGCTCGCTCGAGGAGAAGGAGGAGCAGGCGAAGCAGGCGCCGAGACCAGCCGACGTAGCCGAGACCAGCCGAGACTAGCCGAGACCGGGCCGAGAGGAGAGAGAGGGGTGGGGGGGGGGAGCAGGCCGAGAGGAGGGGGGGGGGGGGGGGCAGGCCAAACATGAAAAAAAGGGGGGTGGGGGGCAGGCCAAACAAACCCCCAACGACAAGGCTTCCCCTGCAAACCTGTAAACGTGCCAGGGCGGGGGGAAAATGACCCCAGCCTTGGGTTGGAAACAGGCCAAACCGAAGGGGCCGGCGGGCCGACCGCCAGAAGAGGGATGCGTTCCGCGCGCTGCTGCGCCGCAGGTGCGCACAGTGCACGGCCCTCGCTCCTAGCGCCACCATGCTCCATGCTCCTAGCACCATGCTCCATGCTCCTTGCGCCACCTGCTCCATGCTCCATGCCCCGCCCATCTCGGCGCAATCTCGGCGCATCTCGGCGCATCTCGGCGCTATCTCGGCAGGTACGACGAGGGGCTCATCCCACTCGCCGCGCGCTGGCGCGACGTGGCGGCCGAGCTCGAGGCGGCCGAGGAGCGCGGCCCTAGATGCGGCCAAGAGATGCGGAAGAGAGGGGGGGGAACTGCTGCCGCATCCAAGCTAGCGCTCGAGGCGTCCTCGGCCCTTCGTGGCCCCCTCCTGGGACTTTGCCGGGAACTTTCCTGGCCCCTTGCCGGGACTTTCCTAGACCCTTGCTGGGACCTTTCCTGGACCCCTCCTGGCCCCTTGCTGGGACCTTCCTGGACCCCTCCTGGCCCCTTGCTGGGACTTCTCCTCGAGCTACCCCCCCCCCCCCCTCCCCTTCCCTGCAGGAGCACGGCCTCGCCGCGGGCCAGCCCGGCTCGACTCCGCAGGAGCTCTTCGACGACTTCATGGAGCAGGCCCGCGAGACGTACTCTGGCCACCGCCGGCTCCTGCGCGGCGTGAGCGGCGCACCGCCCGTCACCGCCGCCACCACGGCCGACGAGTTCGCCGCGGCGATCGCCTCCGCCGCCGACGCGGGCAGCGAGGTGGCGAGCTTGCCGCGCGCGTCGCTCGCGGCGTACGTCGCCGAGCTCAAGGAGAAGGCGCGCGAGGAGGCGGCCGAGATGGAGCGCTCGATCCGAAAGCAGCAGCGCTCCGCGATCGAGGCCTTCCAGGGGGCGCTGCGCGGCCTGATGGGCGCGACACTCACCTCGGCGACGACGTGGCAGGAGGTGGCGGCGGTCCGAGGGGGCGGCCTTGGCGAGGCGCGGAACAGCGTCTCCTGACGACGCCCACCTGTGGACAGGTGGCTGCAGTCGTGAGCGGCAAGGCGTTTGCGAGTGCGCTGGCGGAGCCGCTGCAGCGGCAGGCGTTCAGCGAGCTGCACGCCGAGGTCAAGGCGGCGGAGGACAAGGAGGCGGCGGCCGCGACGGGCGCCGCGGCGGGCGGCGGCGAGAAGGAGGCGGGCGGCGAGGAGGGCGGCGAGCGCAAGCGCCACAAGAAGCGCGAGCGGCGCCGCGACGAGGGGAGCGACGACGACGACGAGCGGCGCAAGCGCAAGAAGGAGAAGCGGGATCGCCGCCGCCGCGAGAAGGAGGCGGGCGAGGCCTCCGAGAGCGGCTAGCCCTCCCCCGCAGTGCACAGAGCGCAGAGGCTGGAGGCTGGCACAGCCGCAGCGCGCAGGCGCTGGTGAGTTGTGGCGAGTCTCGCCTCTCTGCGTCTGGGCTTGGTGCTACTATATCGATGTTTCTACCAAGTACGATCTGCTCATAACAGCCCATAATGTACACGAGCGAGGCGACGTGAGCTGGAGCCTGGAGCTGATGGTGCGTCCTGCTCCTGGATGGACACCAAAAACGCTGAGAGAGTTACGATTACTATCCTCGCTGCGTGTGGGAACTGGGATTGCGTTTTTCAGTAATTCACATTAATTAAAGTAGGGGTCACGAAACACCGTTTCCGCGCTATGCGCACGTGTCAGTGTTGAAGATGTGCGCTCTCACCCGCAACCCGCACTTGCGTCACTCGTCTGCGCCAGCAGAGGCCTTTGGACGGTCCGATCGACGGGTCGGCTTTGAAGGTGGCAGCTTGACGCCTACGAGCTTGAGCGGCGTCCCCAGCCATTGATGTGCCCTCCACTCGTGAAAGAGCGTCTGACCCATCGCCTGCTCGCCGTACGGGAAGACGACGCATCCGCGCGCCAGGCAGCGCCCCATTTGGCTACCGATGAGCCACGGGTTGGGTGGTGCTGTCAGCTTGTGGCTGTCTGTCACTGCGCAGCCCGGCGGCCGTGGTGGCATGTCCAGACGCTCTCGCTTTGGCTGAAATGGGCACGCGGCGCCAGAGCACCGGACTGGCGAGACGACCAGGGAAGTGCCCTCAAAGCACTCCGGGTACTCGGGTAGCTTCTCGTCGATTGCAGGGTCGAAGACGCGGAACCAGAGCCGCTCGAACGCCGCCGAGAGGAAGAATCCGTTGGCACCTACACGGTTGTCGATGGCCCCGATGCGCGGCGGCGCGAGAGGGCCCAGGTCGACCGCATACGGCCCGAAGTTTGCCCATTTTGCGTTCCGGGCGCTGTCCTTCTTCTCCTTGGGCGTGGCATCCCCCTTTGCTCTGGGCATCATCTCTTTGAGCGGCGACGGCATTGCGGTGAGCTCGGCATTCAGCCTCCACCAGTACTGCGAGCGCAGCCGAACGGCGGCGCGAGGCACCGCGAATTGGAACTTGCGCGGCCAAGAGATGTGGCGCGGAAAGCGCGGCAGCTGCACGCTTGACGAGGCTTCACGCGAGGTGTTTCTGGCGCTATGGTCGGGGCTTTCGCCTGCAAGCACCCGTGCCTTGGCCTGGCGGTACTCGGCGAGTGTCAGCTCGCCTGCACGGTAGAGCGCGGCGACTTGCGACAGCTGGAGGACCGTGTCCCCGCTGCCGCCGTTGCCGCCGTCCTCACCGCTCTTACTGGCGGTGGCGTACTCGGCAGCGCGCTTGCCAAACGGCTGTAGAAAGGAGCGCATCCACCAATGCATAGGCCGGTACTCGCCAAACTTGGCGATTCCGAAGTTCGGCGCGGAGTCGATCATGCAGGGACACGGGCCGAGCTGCTCACGCGAGGCGGGCGGGGGGTAATGAGAGGGCGGGGTGAAGAGGGCGAGGCAGAGGATCGAAAGGGACGGCAGGCGGTCACCTCCCACACTGCGCTCCCATTCGCAAAGACTCCGGACCCGCCAGCTTTGGCCACCGCTGCCGCATCCTGTCGCGCCGAAAAGGTGGCCTCTAGCTTGCGGACCCAAGCGCTCGAGCCCACGGGGATATTCTCAACCTTCCCCGGCTTCTCGAGCAAGGCAACGATGGGGTCGTCCGGCAAGAAGATGATGGTGCGGGGCAGGCTGTTGTAGAACTCCTCGGCGAAGCGCGGCACCGTTGCCACCTGACGCGCGCCCAGGTTTGGGCCATCGATGCAGGCACCGCGGCCCTTGGCGACCCACTTGAGCAAGTCGGGGTGCACAGCGGTGCACGACTCGCCGTGCGAGAAGATGAGGATCGCCGCGTCGGACCGCCCTTGGTACAAGTTGGCCAGGTCGGTCAGCGCCTTCTTCCGCACGCGGAAGGCCTTCTCGGTCTTCTCGCGCACCACCCACGTGAGGACAAAGCCAAAGGTGGCGTTGCTGACGGCGCGCTGCAGCGTGTTCCAGCAGAGATCGCCTTCCTGCCAGCCCTTGCGCAGCAGCCCGCTTCGGCTCACGTGCAGTCGGCGGTACCCTGGCAGCGCCGCGCAGGGTCTGAGCAGCTTGGGCTCGGCGGAGCTAGGCGGCAGTGCCATGTCGCACGCCCAAGTTTGGGACGCACGAAAGCCAGACACCAGATGGGTAACGGCCCTACGGCCGCAACGAACGAGGGACCGTCCTACCAGGCGGGGCGGCCCAAGCAAGGGCTGTGGGCGGGGGAGGAGACGCGCGTCGCGGCGAGCAGCGGCACGCGGCGAGCTGCCTAGGGAAGAAAGGGAGAGGGGAGTCGGGGCGGGGGGGCGAGGTGAAATGTCGGCCGGGCCATCGAATGCGTTGAAGGCAACGACAAGGCACTGCCCATCCCCAGCAGGCCTGCACTGCAAAGAGACGATGCTCCTCTGCCAGAAGGGGGGGGGGGTCGCGGACCCCTTCGATTGATCCTTCCGAAGTCTGCGCAGCAAGGTGGCGCATTCTGGCGACGCCGTCAAGCTCTGTCTCGATGGCCACCGATGGGGCGACTCTGACGCCGACGAGCAAGGTGCGGGCAGGCGGCGACACCGACACTGACGACGGCAGCTCCGACAGCAGCCCCGACTCTTCGGATGGCGTCGTCTCAGAGGTGCCGGCCCTCTCGCCAAGCCTCCCGTGGTACCGCCGCGGCGGGCTGCACGTCTTGGAGCCCTCGCACGGGCTCGTCCTGGCTGCGGTGTACTTCACGCTGTTTCGCGAGCTGCTCGGCCCCTCGTGGGGCGGACTGCACAGTGCCTACGTGGTCGTCGTCATCTGCTGCTTGCTGCACGGGCGGCTGCCCCGCGGCGCGGTATCCGACGCGCGGTGGTTCTTCTGCTGCGTGGTGATGCCCCTCTACTTTGCGAGCGTCCCGCTGGTCTTCGCGCTCCCCGCGCCCGCCCTCTCTCTGCTCGCCGCCCTCGTGCTCCTCATCCTCAAGGTCTTTGCGCCGCGCTGCTGCAGTCTCTGCGCCCTGCCCGCAAACCCGCCCTGTGAGCCTATAGGTCGGGGTCTGCATGTCCGTCTGCCTCCACCGCTACGCTGCGCACGGCGCCTTCAAGTGCGGGCCAGTCACGTCGCTCGCCATCCAGTGGATCGGATGCCTCGCCAACCAGGCTCGCAGCCGCCTCGCCCTCCCAGCCCACACCATGGCACCTCTCCCACCGCCGCCGCTTCTTGACCGCCGCAGGGCGGCTCCGTCTGGTGGGCCGCCAACCACCGGTGCCACCACAAGTTTTGCGACGTGGACGGCAGCGTCCGCGACCCCCACTCGCCCCAGCTCGACGGCGCGGCAAACGCGTTTGCCTTTTTGTCGGAGCACGGCACGGTCAAGGAGGAGTTCACGCCGCGCCACTGCGACGGCGTCGCCGCGCGCGTGCTGGACACCTTCTCCGCCCTCCCGTGCGTCGTCGAGCTGTGCGCGATGCGCGCGCTCTTCGGCACGGCCGGCTTGTGGGCCTCTTTCACGTCCGGCTACCTCTCGCAACTCCTCACGCTCTGGTTCAACGTGGTGAACCACGCCACGGAGGAGGGGGAGGAGGCCGCGCCCGGGGCCGCGCCAGGGGCCGCGCCCGGGGCCGCACCCGAGCTTTCGCGGGCGAAGGCGTGCCGCGCGACCGACGTGCGGTCGGCCCTCAGCCCCAACCTGTTCTTCGAGTGCCTCAACCGGCTGCTCTGGGTGGGCGTCCTGTGCGGCGAGGGCACGCACGCGCACCACCACGCCTACGGCAGCCTCGCCCACCGCCCGGGCGTCGACTTGCCCTTCCACATCTTTATCCGGCCCCTGCTCGCTCTCGGGCTCGTGTGGGACCCGAAGCTGGCGGGGAGGGACAAGGCCTCCAAGGTGCACTGAGAGTACACGCTCTCCGCCGGGGACGCCCAGGACTCACATACTGAGACCCGCAGATTGCTGCCGCCGAGACCGCACTTTTTGGTGGCTCTGACTGAGCGAGCGCTCCGCGGGAGTGACCGCGCGCGAGGGCTGCGTGAGACACCCCTAGCCGCACCACTGCCGCCACAACCGCACTTATCAACTACTCTCACAACTCTCAAGAGATGACAGTTCGCGTAGAGGGTGTGGAGGATGAGTTCTGAGGAGAGATTTTTCAATACCTTAAAAGCGCAGCAGACCGCCCCCTCTAGCTCTACTCGGAGCTATAATGAACACCAGACATGAACACGACACGCACTCTCACACGACGTCACCGCTCAGGGCCCCTTCGCGCGGGGTCCTCATCCGACTCCGGAAAAAAAGAAAGAAAGAAAACGGACAACCCAAGGACGGCACGCCGCCACCACACAGGGATTTTAAGGAGAGGGGTGACTCCGGTGGAGTTTCTCTCTCGTCTGGAGACCGTTTACGCTCAGCTGAAAGAAAGAAAGAAAACAGACACCCAAACGAGGGATGGGACGAGGACAGGGTCCCCACCTGCACGAGCAGGATTTTGGAAGGACGATCAGGGGGACAGGTGGGGCTCTCCTGCTCCTGACAAGGGACACGCTCAGAAAGAAAGAAAGAAAACAGACAACCCAAGGGAGGGATGGGAGGACGGCACGCCGCCACCACACAGGGATTTCACGCTCACGCTCAGCTGTGATGGGTGTGGCTTTTTGCCCGGCCGCGCGCAGCGCTAATCGGGCGTCCTTTGCTCCTCCGCGAGCTGTCTAGGGGCGCAAAATCTACGAATTAGATGCATCGAAGATGCAGTCGGCCCTCTTTCGAATGCGCGCAGCGCCGGCGCGCAGCGCCACGCCGCCAGGCGTCCGCCGGAGGCTCCCCGGCCGACACACATCCCGGCAAGCTTGCCGCGCGCAGCGCCCCGCGCCGCAGGCCCGCCGGAGGCTCCCCGGCCGACACACCCCGGTTTCCTCTCAGGGGCCCGGGAACTCCGGGCGCCCCCGAAACCACCCATTTTAGGTGTCCGGCGGGGGGTTTCTTCGCTGTCCCCCCCCCCCCCCGAACAAG